GGCCTAACCATTCAACTTTATTTATTTTTATTATGGTAAAATGTACATAAAATTTACCAGTTTTATCAGCCACATTCTGTGTTGCAATAATTATTTGCGGTAGTGTTGTAACAGTTTTCATCACTCTGCAGAATTCCATTTTTGTTACAGATGACGGGATCATTCAAGCTTTCTAGTCAGTTTGGATCATTTTACTTTTCCTAGGAACTTGTTTCATTTAGGTTGTCAAATGTGTTGACACGGAGTTCATAACGTTTCATTTTAATTTCTGTTATGTCAGTAGTTAAGTCTTCTTTCTAGTTCCTAATGTTTATTTGTGCCCACTCCCTTTTTTTTTTTTTTTTTTTTTTTGAGATGGAGTCTCGCTCTGTCACCCAGGCTGAAGTGCAGTGATGTGATCTTGGCTCACTGCAAGCTCCGCCTCCCGGGTTCATGCCATTCTCCTGCCTCAGGCTCCTGAGTAGCTGGGACTACAGGTGCCCGCCACCACGCCTGGCTAATTTTTTGTATTTTTAGTAGAGACGGAGTTTCACCGTGTTAGCCAGGATAGTCTCGATCTCCTGACCTCGTGATCCGCCCGTCTTGGCCTCCCGAAGTGCTGGGATTACAGGCGTGAGCCACCGTGCCTGGCCGCGCACTCCCTTTTTATGTTGATCTGTCATGTCAGAAGTTTGCAAGGTTTTTTTTTAGTGTTTTCAAATAACCATCTTGCAGTCTTGGTGATCCTCTCTATTGTAGGTTTGGTTGCTTTTTCATTCGTTTCTGCTCTTATTTTGTATTTTCTGTTTGTCCCACTTCTAAGTTTCATTTTTTCCCCCTTCCTTGTCTTTTCAATTAATCAAGTTATAGCTCCTCTACACATGCACACATTCTCGCTCTTTCATTTTTTTCTTCTACAAATTAGGAAGTTCTGTGATCTGTTTCTGTTCTTTAGTGGGTGGATTAAGGATAAAGAAAGGTGAGGAATAAGGTGTAGTTACCCTGCCTTTTACCTGAGGATGTCTCTTGCCATCTTCTTTCCGTCACCACTGCCTGCTGTAGGCGATATTCCCATGACCTCCTTTCTGGACTGTTGTAACAGATGTCTCCTAAAGCACAGATAGAATTACGTTGCTTGTAGCTGGGCACAGTGACTCACGCCTGTAATCCCAGCACTTTGGGAGGCCGAGGTAGGAGGATCACATGAGGCCAGGAGTTGGAGACCAGTCTGGCTAACATGATAAAACCTCGTCTCTACTAAAAACACAAAAATTAGCTGGGTTTGGTGGCGGTCACCTGTAATCCCAGCTACTTGGGAGGCTCATGCTGGAGAATTGCTTGAACTTGGGAGGCAGAGGTTGTAGTGAGCTGAGATCACACCACTGCACTCCAGCCTGGGCAACAGAGCAAAACTGTGTCTGAACTAGATACATATATAGCTTATATATAAGCTATATATACATACATATATAGTATATAGATAAGCTATATATACATATATCGTATATAGATAAGCTGTACATACATATATGTATAGGCTATATGTATATATACACATATACATATATCGGCTATATACATGTATATAGATAGGAATATATACATAGTATATAGATTATATACATATACTATATATAGATTATATACATATATGCTGTATAGTATAGATAAGCTGTATATACTACATAGTACATATATAGCTTATATATGTATATATAGCTTATCTATAGTATATATAGTATATATGTATATATAAGCTATACATATGTGTATATATAGTATAGCCTATAGTATATATAGCCTATATATAGTATATGTAGCCTATGTATAATGTATATATGTATATATAGATAAGCTATACATATATGTATAGATGTGTATATATACTATAGTATATACTTATATATAGTATATACTTATACTACTAATAGTATATATACTATATATACTATATAGCCTATGTATAGTATAGGCTATATATATACTATATAGTATAGGCTATATATAGTATATACTATATGTACTATATAGCCTATGTATAGCCTATACTATATATAGCCTACACTATACATATAGCATATATATAGCCTATACTATACATAGGCTATATAGTATATATACTATTAGTAGTATATACTTTGGGAGGCTGAGGTGGGAAGATCTGTCATGTCAGAGGTTTGCAAGTATATATATAGTATATATACACTTAGTATATGTAGCTATACAGTGTATAGCTATATATATAGCTTATATATACTATATGTAGGCTATATATTGTATATATACTATTATTATATATATACACACACACTTTGGGAGGCCAGGACGGGAGGATCTGTCAGGTCAGAGGTTTGCAAGTATACTATATACTCTTAGTATATATAGCTATAGAGTATATATAGCTTATATATTATATATACTCTACTTATATAAGCTATATATACTAAACATAGTGTATATATATATATACTATATATATATTCACATTGTTCCCCTGCACACTTATCTTTGCTGGCTCTCCAGAATCTGCCAGGTAAAATCCAGATTCCTTGATATGGCATTTAAGACCCCAACATAATTTTCTTGCTTTCTTCAGCTCCCCAACCCCTACTCTATAATATCCTTCATATTGGCATACTTGAAGTTTCCAGAACAGTCCCTATACTTTTCCATTACATTTATTTACACATAATATCCTCCCCCACCACCTATCATGTCCCATGATCGATTTTAAGCTGAGATGGCCCGTTTTGCAGCCTTACAGAACTAGACCAGAAGATATTTGTGGATAAATCTGATCTTCCTATATGTAACTTCTGCTTCACTGGTTCCTCAATCTGAATTGGCCACATGCTTGCTGAAAAGACTTGTTTTCTTCTTAAGGGATCCTACTAATCCCTTGAAGACCAAATCAAGTCACCTGCATCCTGCTGCATTCTTGATTCTCTAGATGGAACTAATATCTAACTTTCCTATTCTCAGATCACTGTCCCTGCATTACCACTACTGGTGAGATTCTGGTATTTTCAGAAGGCACCACCTGTTATGTCAGAAGATGCGTTGTGCAGCTGCTTCCATTGCTAACAGATGTATCTCTTTCTCTCATTCAGATCTATGCCCTCAACAGAGTCATGACAGAACTGGAGCAGCAGCAGTTTGATGAGTTCTGTAAACAGATGCAGCCTCCTGGAGAATGAGCTCCCCAGGTTCAAACCAGATGGGACCCTGAGATTTTTGTTTGACAGGGTGTTGCCAGTTTTAAGCTGAGATGGCCCATTTGGAGCCTTACAGAACTAGGCCAGAAGACATTTGTGGATAAATCTGAACTCACTTCCTATGTGTAACTTCTACTTCACTGGTTCCTCCAATCTGAATTGGCCGCATGCTTGCTGAAGAGACTTGTTTTCTTCTTCTAAGACAGTGGTTTTTGTTTTTTGTTTTTTTTTTTTAAAAAAAAACAAAACACACAAAAAAACCTTTTTCTATTTGAGAAAAATCAGTGTTTCTCATGAAACTATATCTTCTCCAAAAATACAAATAAAATACTGATAAAATGTTCATTTACTGATACTTTAGCAAGTGCCTAGCCATAGAAAATGGAATACAAAGTAATGTAATAGGTAAGAAAAGTTGAGGTGAGCAGAAGGCACCCTCTCTCCTTCAGGAGCTTGGCAGAGAGGAGAGAAAGAACACGACTGGTTCCAGTTTTCATTCTTCCTGGAGCTAAAACTTTGCAGACCCTGCTGATCTCTAGTTTATAGGCACACAGATATAAATATGTGACCCCTTTACTCCCAGATGAGTCACTAGTCAGGGTTAGAGGCCTGAAGCTAGGATTTCCTCACCGGTGATTGTGGAGAGCTAGCAGCAGGCTTTCATCAACAGCAAGAGGGGAGTGCAGGTGCTTTTTGTTTTTTGTTTTGTTGTCTGCCTTATCAGACCTAGAAACGAATTTATGATGGAAATATTCAGACGTCCCTCAGAAACCAGCCACCACCCCTCCGCCATTCAACTGCCATTTTTAGGTGTAGAAATGTAAGGTGGTTTCTGCTTCTGACATTTGTATCAAGAATGGTAGTTCATACCTGAATGCTTAGTAGAGTTATTTTAATGCTGAGCAAAAGAAGAGATTGTTCTTCTAGGATATTTCATTTCCAGAAATCCCTTGGGAGTAGGGGGAGCAGGACTTAAGAGAGCTGAAAAAATACCACTCAGATGGGGCAAAGAGGCAGACACTGCCACCTCCTTTCCTCTAAGCTGGAAATGCTGGAAACACCTCAAGCTGTCCCTGTCTCCTCTGTCTCCCTGTGCTGCCTCTGAAGTCACTGAGAATACTTTTCCCATTGCTCTGGCATATTTCAGGAGTAAACTGGGGAGTTAATGGGATGTTAAAGTTTCTACCACTGTGGAGAATGTGTTTTTAGAGCCCAGGTTATAATTAAGGATAATCTCTACATAGATTATCTCCACAAATGGTAGTTAGGTTCTGTAGCATCCTGCTAAATTTTTTTGAATGGAGTTTTGTGTTTTCAGAGAAGTAGGGGGTTGGAGGGAGCCGTCCCTATAAATACACAGAAATACTGTCATATGCTTAAAAAAAAAGCCGTTTTGGAGCCAAATGACCTGGGGTACCCAACTACCAGTTAACCTCTCTGAACTGCAGTTTTCCCATCTACACAATGGAATGATATTTCCTTCCTGTCAGGAGTGTTGTTGAGAAATAATGTATGTAATAGATACTCAGTGTCTTAGTCCACTTTGTGCTGTTACAGCAATACCTTAGATTGGGTTTGTGTTTTTGTGGGTTTTTTTGTTTTGTTTTGTTTGTTTTTTGTTTTTTTTGAGACAGGGTCTGGCTCTGTTGCCCAGGCTAGAGTGCAGTGGCATGATCTCGACTCACTGCAACCTCTGCATCTTTGCTTTCTGGCCCAAGCCATCCTCCCACCTCAGCCTCCTGGGTAGCTGGGACTACAGGCATGCACCACCATGCCTGCTAATTTTGTATTTTTTTGTAGAGACAGGGTCTGACTTTGTTGCCCAGGCTGGACTCAAACTCCTGAGCTCAAGTGATCCACCCGCCTCAGCCTCCCAAAGTACTGGGATTACAGGGATGACCCAACATGCCTGGCCTAGATTGGGTAATTTATGAAGAACAGAGATTGGTTTCTTACAGTTCTAGAAGCTGGGATGTCCAGTGTGGAGGGGCCTGCATCTGCTGAGGGCTGTCTTGCTACATCATCCTGTGGCTGAAGGTGAAAGGGCAAGGGAGGGAGAAGGAGGCCAAACTTCATCCTTTTATTAGGAACCCACTCCCAAGATAACTAGCCTACTCCAGCAATAAGACATCATTACTCATTCATGATGGCAAAGCCCTCATAACCTAATCATCTCTTGACGTTTCCACCTCTTAACACTGTTGCATTGGGGATTATTTCTAACACATGAACTTTGGGGGACACATTCAAACCATAGCACTCAGAAAATGTTACTTCCCTTTCCGGCCACCTTTCAGATTGTTTCATGGGAAATGTTTTCAGATTTCACATAACCAGGAAAGACATGATCATTGTGTGGAAAGATTCTTAGTTGGGAACTGCTTGTATTAACATCACTCAGCCTTGGGTATATTCTTGTCCTGGAGAAACACTCTAGTATGGCACAGTTTTTCAAACTGCAAGTGGTTGTAAAATCAGTGTAGTAAATTATGACCAGCTTTTCTTTTCAATGAAATAATAAATTAGAAAATACCACATGTGGGGCCGGGCACGGTGGCTCATGCCTGTAATCATAGCATGTTGGGAGGCCAAGGAG